CAATGATGAGCGTGTAGCATTTGTTCCTTTGCTGCACGTAGGTAATCCAGGAAATGAGGAACTTGAAGCCACTCCTGGTGGGAGATGAGGATGCGGAGATGTGCGTGGCAGTTCTTGATAATTTTGAGTTATTATTTACGGAGTATTATTTAAATTAACTTATTACTTTTACGGGCATGATTCCTAAGTTGTGTTTTGAATTAGGAATTAAGCTTTCGTACGTGTTTTGATTATTACTCCGATGAATGTTAACTATGTTCTGAAGTATTATTTGGATTGTTTTGAAATTTAAGTCGTGATTGGGTACCAATTTAGTAGCAACCCGATTCACTAATTTGAGTATTCGAGTTATGCGAGTTGAGGTGATACATAAAGTAAAATAAAATGTTATTCTTTGAAATAAATTAATCAACAATTGAAGTTATTTTAAACGAGAGATTTTAACAATTATTTTTAGGCCCTTAGTGAGACGAATAGGTAGCGACAGAAAAAGAATCCTTATCAGCACTTTATGGGCCAGGGTGGATATTCCAAGCTTGAGTGCGAGGTGGAGCTTTCCCAGACCACCTGTAGATGTCGCTACTCCATCATCAAAGGTGACTACTCAGCTCAGACGGGAGGACTACTGGTTGATAGGTTAAACATCGGGGAGGAAGCAGGAGGTTACTGACCCTGGGCTTATGGAGATCCGTGATAGGATAATAAACACATACTCTATATACATACATGTCAAATGTAATTGTTCACGATGTACATAAACATAATATGTTTATTGTGAGGCAAAATCTATTTCAGATATATCCGAAAGATATCCAAACAAAAAAATCCAACCCGAAACCGATCCGATTGACCTAATTGCCACCTATGACAAACTTGAGTTGCCATATTTGATTGGATAAAGCTATTTGTACCCCATGTTTTTGTACCCCACTTTGCAACACTTGTGTCGGTGTAAACCATCAAAATGTTTTTGTATAACTGCGGGGTACAAACAGGGTAAAATTTGGGGTTCTTTTTCAAAATCCCCTAAAACGGAAGTAATTTATCACTCTACCCTAAAACGGATTTTATTTATTAACCTACCCTTCCTATCAAAGTGAAATTACTCTCTAATCCTTCTCCCGGTCTCCCCTAAGCCGTAATCGCTACGTTATCGTTATCATACCGTTGCAGCAGCAGAGCGTCGTTTCTACCCTAGCAAAGCAATTCGTTATTCTCGTTGCGGCGGCGCGCCATTTTCATCATTTTCTATTCCAATCGATTGCATACTCTGACGCCTATTTTCTATTCCAATCGATTGCATACTCTGACGCCTATCAGCTGTCGCCGCTGTTGTTAGCTGTTTCCCATTTTTTCGCTTCCTGTTCGCCGTCTTTTGTTTGTTTCCACTAATCGGTGAAAGACTCTTTCAACGTAGGTACACATTCATCTAATTTTACAGTAAGGATTGTATANTTTAAATTAATTTACTCACGGATGAGGGGAGGACAAAGCCAGTGTATCGGAGGGTGTTTGATGTTTTCCCGCCTTTGACAAGCTTCTTTTTTTCTGAAACTAAGTCCTTCCCCAAAGATTGGATACGGAGGGACTCCAGGAATGCCCATGTCCCCCATGGGAAAGACATGGAATCATCAGAGTTTGCAACAGTGGCAAGGATCCATTTCGGAACTGGGGCATCTTTCTTAGCATGACCAATTAAAACGAGAACAACAAACATCAATGTCGCCACCTTCACTATCCACTGGAGTGCATACTCTTTCTTCCCTTCATCGTCAAGTAGCTGGCACAATTTTGAGAACCTCTCGACAACTGAAGTGTAACATACCACACCCTTTGACCAGTTTTCTTTAACAAAAACAGGCAGTGAATCCTTATCATACTGCTCTTCGTATCCGGGAGCTAGTTGTGAACATTTGAGTCTAGTAATCAAGGAAAATTCCATTAGAGAGTATCTAATGGGAACTCCATTTTCTACAAACCATATTTGAGAAGCTTTTGCTCCTTCCACATTAGCCTCCCTAACCATCAACTGCCATAACATGGCTGGAGGGGGAACAAGTTTGACATCAAGGAAAGCACCAAAAGGAGAATCTCTCCTAAACACTTCAAGGATTTTGATATGATCGCACAACTTTTCTTTCATCAATTTTTGGAAGTCTTGCAGTGAAGACTTCACAGTCAGCTTCATATGTGGAAAGTCCTTTGAATTTACCTTCGTCTTTATCGCCGGAACCTATATAACGGCATATAATGTCAACGAATTTCATATGGAAAGATATGCAATTAGTGCGACCAAGAGGTCGACACTTATTTTAGTCGATCAGACTAAAAATTCATAAACCATTGTCCATTGGTTATTTGGAGAGAGAATAATTCATTTAAAATCAAGTTTCTGACCTCGAGTGTTCCTTGTGTGGGCTTTGGGCTACCGTTGTGCTCTTTCATCCTCTCTTCTGCATGATACTCATCGTTTCCATTCTTGGAGGAAGACACAGAAGCATTCTTCGTCCTCATTGTAATCCAGGAAATGAGGAACTTGAAGCCAATCCTGGAGGGAGATGAGGATGCGGAGATGTGCGTGGCAGTTCTTGATAAGTTTAGTGCTATTTAGTGCAAATATTTCTTCTTTTAATTTGGTATGAAGCATTCTGTAATCTTTTAAATGCTGACTTTTTTTATTGTTCTTTTTGTTAAGGGTGGCATGGAAACGTGGAAAAACAAAACAATGGAATTGTCATGGCTCCGATCCCCCAAGGAGGGATGAGCAGATAGCTAGTACAAAGAGGCTAACAAGTGCCGCACTATATACTGTACAACCGGTTGTACGGTATTTTCTGTACATCCTCGGTGAAAGCTCATTTATGAGTAAGTAAATGCTCATTTTCAAGCAAGTGAATATTCATTTTTGAGTAGCTGAGTACTCATTTCTCTAAAATTTAGTTATGCCCAAAATAGAGCATTCAATTACTCAAAATTGAATTTTCTCTCGTTCGAAAATGAGTACTTAGTTAACACACAATGAGTATTGATGCCGATGTAGGGGAAATATCGTACACCCAAATGTAATGCATGATATATGTGAGCTGTCTTAAAAAAAATGTTTTAAAACTGTTAAAATGTTGTTTTAAAGAAATGCCTTTTTTACATTCAAATTTGTGTAAGCGTGCTTGGAGTATCGGTCTTTGACCCATTACTTCTATATGTATCTTGATTGACTTTATAATTTAATTCCATTAGCATTTCCTGGGTTCTTGTATTCCGTGTATCTGTCCATTAAAATTAATTCATTATTATTAAGATTGCTGAAAATGCCTCTATTATTGTGTCATGGCGTGTGGCATGACAATTGTGTCACAATGTTTGTCACGGGCTCACGGCTCTTAAATCTGTGAAAAATAATTTATCACGCCTTGTATGCACCTCCCATTCTCCCAATCCCCAGTCCCCCTTATAATACTCTCTCCATCACCAATTTGATTATAAATTGCGGTTACAGAGTAATATTTTCTACTTTTTGAAATGATTTTATTTCAAAATTGGTATATCAATAAGATAAAAAAATTATATATTAAAAAACTACGTCAAAAGTTCTACAAAACAAGAGGTGACAAAAAAAAATTTATTTTATCAAATACTTTATGAAATCACGTAAAAAAACAAAAGTTATCGGAAGGAAAGAGAAAAAACAATTGATGGGTATATCCCTATACCCGACCCGGACAACCGAAAGGGACAGGTCAAAATATGACCGGTCACTTTTATCAATCACCAAATGTGGTTAACTCTACGATTGGGACGGGTCAAAAGTTGACCGGTCACTTCCACTAAAAAAGTGACCGGTCACATTTTGGGCGATAGCCAAAATATCACCTAATGTTGTGAAGAATTCAAGAAGACCAAAGAGACGGGTTGAGCTCAAGAAATGACCGGTCAACCTTTGAGAAAAAGGTGACCGGTCATATCATCTTACTTCACAAACATTGGTCCAGTATCTCAGGCATGGTGAACCACGTCAAAGATCGAGGGACCACCCCGCCGTTCGCCCATCACGAGACAAACACTGAAAGGGATGTTTGTCACTTTGCAGGGCTGATTGGATTGAGAATATCCATCTATAGTCTTTGATTGAACAGTACATGTCTTGGCTTATAGTTGCTAAATTCTATGATTGTATAGTGCTTCCATTATCTACAGTGACCTTCCCACGAGCTTCCTATTTTGTCCATGGATGAACAGGGGAGGGTCACAAATCCTCCTCTATAAATATGATGATATTTGATAGAGGAGGGGATCCAATTTTTCTCTCACTAAAGTTCACTCTTGAGATAGAGTAAGAAATATAATTCGGACTGAGGAGATTTACCCGGTCTAGGTCA